ACTACACCCACTACATCTATAACATTTTGTGATTTTTTCAAATGCATACTCCACCACCGTCTCCGAACACCACTTCATCTCCCATCGCCACAACTATTCCCATAACTATTGCTCCTCCACTAAAGATCTCTATGGATCTTTATCAACCGCAGATTTCAGTTCAACTATCTACTCCACTCTTCACAGATTCCACAGCTACAGCCAAAACCTTTCTTAATACTTCGATGTCTACTATCAAGGTATCTGATATGGGGGTATGTGATTTCGATGTTACTGTCAGTCCAAACACTTCAACAACTTCTCCTCTATAAGAATATGATCCAGATCTTTTGTTTGGGGATGATTAGGATGATTTCCAAGAATTGTTTTTAGCCCCTTCACCGTTCATCGGGAAAGTAATGATTATGAAGCCCCCATGACGATAGGGAAATTTAAATAGCTAAACACCAAGTTGGATTCTCTTTTGGCCTCTTCTTAATCTTCAGTCAATTTCGACTATATGATCAAGACACGTCAGGAAACAGCCAAGACTCTAACAAAGGAAAATGCTAAAGTTATTGCTGATTCTGCGAAAGTTATTCAAGCCTCTAAGAAAGCCATTGCTGATATGACCGAAAAAGTGAAAAACTATATGCTGAAGTCACAAAATATATGGCTAATTTCCGAAGCTCCGATGATCAAAACATTGAAGCCACTAACAAAGTGATTTCAAGTCTCAGCACATCTTTACAAATCCACATAGAGGCCCTTTCTCATGTTCATGGTGACCTAACTCAGATATGACTGCTTCTGTTGTTTCAAAGATCGAGCAGCTTCATAAAAATCTTGCTGTTGAGAACGCAATAATGGATAAGTTGGTTGTAAGACTGAAAAAGTCAAAGTTCTTTCCCTCAAGCTCAATTATGTAAATAAACGATTGGATGATCTAGAGACTGATAAAGCATCATCAATGTAACAGCCTGGAATTTCAGGTATTGTCATAATATTGTTTTTGGGGTGTTTTAGGAGGGGACTCGGCGAGTTGGAGCCAGACTCGCCGAGTAGGACCACAGACTTGGTCGCGGGTTCGCGACTGGACTCGACGAGTCCATTATGGACTCGGCGAGTCTGCGCTGTTCAGCGGAAACCCTAGCCGTTTGGTTTTGGAATGTATATAATGAACTTATAGGCCATCATTGTCCGTCTTTAGCCTACTGAGAAGAACCCTAATCGGTTGTGTGCATCTGGAGCAAGGATTGAAGGCCATTGGTGATCTTGAAGAAGTTATTGTGCAAGGAAGAGAAGGGTTTGGCTAAAGGAACAGCAAGGGAATCAAGTTCTGAGGATTGGGGACACAGAGAGTGCATTATTCAGGTAACAATTCGGATTATAATCTGCTATGTTGATGTGTGCATGGATTTAGGGTTTATGGAACCCTTTTGTGACTAGATTGATTGTTATCCTTGTTTCCCAAACGATTATAACC